TGCAGGATGAAATCAATTATAAATGAGATTAAAATTATAGTAAACTTGTAATTCTCTAGAGTTCTTTGCGCAATATTCACCAATAACTTCTTTTCAATCCTCTTTTGGTGGACAATTAACCAAATCTTTCATATTTCTTACACCGCAAATTACAAATACTAAACTACAAGTTTAACAATGATAATAAATTCGATTCTTCAAATTTACCTGTTAAACTTTCAGATCATTATTGTCGTTCCTATCATACTTATCTGTTAGAAAAAAGTTTAAATTTCTTTAGTTATTATAAGTTATTGAATCATTTTTAAAGAGAACTAACGATTTTATGAAAAGAAACGACGAATAAAATTTAAAGAATCCTTTAATTGATCGTAAAAGTTTGAATTTACCTATGAATGTTGAACGATCATTAACTACACTACTTTTTTGATTTTGATAAATTTTCTAAGGCAAACTTTGATATTTTTATGGCCCAATTACTGAGCAATAGAGAGCGTATTCAGCCTACATTGAAGCTTTCTTTTTTAGATTTATAATTCCTTCTACTTATTTACTTTACCAAATTATGATTTATATTCAATTTTGTGTCATAATAAATTGCCTCTATTCATTATTAAGTAAGTGTTGTTTTAGATTATTAGATTCTTATTTGCAATAATTTATAAGAAATTTATCTTCTTTTCCATTCCATTTTTTTATTCATCATTAGCAAACCATTGTCCTTGTTGGCTCAATTCATTAGAATTGAAGTAGCCTTATAGCAGAATCACACGAAAGGTAGAATTTATTTTATTTTTATTTTTAATATCCATGTGAACAAGATTACAGAAAGATAAACAAGAACTAATTTTTAAAAAAAAGCCAAACGTTATCTAAACTATGCTGGAATCAAACCGCCCGAAGACAGCGTCACCCTGGTGCGAAAATAAGAAGAACCGTGGGGGATCAGCCGAAGCATTTCCACCCACCTACCACTAGGAAAAGGCTAAGGGGATGTTAAAAATATGAATGGTCTATGGGGGATCTAATAAAACTAATCACACGAAAGGTAGAATTTTGTGCAAATATGCAGTGTCACGTGCAGACAAAGCACGTGACAATAATTAGTCTAAGCCCTGTAAACATTTTATGTAAAAACTCCGTAAATATGATGATACATTTACGAAATAATATGGAATAAAAAAAAACAAAATAAATTTTTTACGGTTCGTATTCGATAATATATAAGGTAGAGTCATTTATTGCAAATCTTCCTCAATAAATTGCATTAATAAATCGATTTTTTAATTAGTAATCTAAATATACAAATGTAATAATGACTCATAAATATTTTATTTATTTAGAAACAAATAACACATTATTTAACAATATCGAATCTTTAATAGACTTAAACTTATAAGTTTACCGTTGACCGATTCACTATAATTTAGCGATACGATATGAATCATTAAACATAAATGGGACAATGTAGTTAATACTCGGTAACTTTATACTCAGTATTAACGAAATTTTACCGGCTATAATAGGAATTTATTCCTAAATATTATATTTTAAATCGTGATTTGTGACGATTGAAGTTATTACTTAAAAGTTCGTAATGATACGGAAAAAACCTTATTATTATAATTGATGAGTATCGTAAGTTGAAATTCTGTATAGAAGATTCATTGGCGTTGATTAATAAACAATATTTATGAAATAGTTAGATGACTACTATTATCCATTGAACATATGATTCGTAAGCAAAGTAAAAAATATATGCATGGATATTGCGTTTCATTTATGACAAGATATTGTTCAAACAAAGAAAATTTCGAAAAAGTACCCTTTTAAATTGTACTTAATATGGATAATACCGCTATCATGAGTTGAAGGAGAAAGAGAAGTTACAAATAGACCAATATGTTTCATGAAAGCCATTTATACAATAATATAACCATATTTGAGCTTTGGCGTTGTTTTTTATTTATCAGCAATAAAATATTCGGATTATATACTGTATAATAAAATAGTATTATATATAAAATTTATATTGTTAAAGTACTGCTATCTAACTTTATATTATTTAAAAGAAAAATACTATGTGATTAACTACAGTATTTATTGGTTCATCATACGAAATATTAAAAATAAACATTCATGCAGGGTCTAAAATAATAGGAGTGCAATTTTAAATAATGACCTAAAATTTTAAAAGTTTATTACTTAACTAAATAGGTTAGCTATTATTTCTTGTCAACTCCGAGAAAAAAAAAATTTTTTCTTTATTAAATAGTTTTGTTACATTTGCTTATATTATCCCCATAAAAAAATTCTGGAAAAAAATTTAATTTTTATTCAGACATGTGATCATTTTTCTGAAAAATTATTTATAGGGTTACTGGGCCAAATTTATAGTGTCACCCGGACTAAGTAAATTTGCTAGAGTTATTAAAGTTGTAAATTAAAATTTCTTCTAATTTATTATACTAGGTAACGGTGACCGTTAAACGTCCGAAGCGGGCGTCACGTTTTTCGTTTTCCAAAGTGAAATCTTATTGGTGTTATATTTTGCAACGATTTATAAACATTATCTTTATCGTCAAACTCAATTGTTAAAGTTTTTTATTGACGAGGAATCTTATATCCATGATAAAAATAGTCACTTATTTTTTAATATTTAGTCACTATCATTACTTGCAAAATAATAAAAATTCCTTACATATATTCTTTGCTAGTTATTTTATTTTTATATATAACTGAAATGATGTTTTGGATTAAATAAATTAAGATTATGATGTCCAAAAGACAATATTTAAGTTTCAGGTTAGACAGAGCCAAGAATTTTTGGCAAAGTAAATTCGACCGTCCGTAATTTTACCGGGGACAGAAGAGGCATAATGTTGACCAGAATTAAATATTATTCTCGCGACTCAAGTCAAAATCTGTGTACACTTGATAGGACGGATCAATTAAATTGTATACTAAATACATCAATATATTGATCTGTTGTCTTATAAAACAAATGATCAAATTCGTTCGGAAATCAGAAGATTTTGTAGAGTTAAAGAGTAGTATTTAAGAATTGTTAATTTATTTATTGTTTCAGAACTTCATATTCGAGTTGGTTCGCTTGTTTCGAGTACAAAACTCGACTCAGCTGAATCGTTCTGACCCATATAATTTACTGTTCTCAGGTCTCCACTAAAAAAAAAAAATTATTATTATTAATTGCTTGTCCTTTATGTTACGGGAATTTTCTAAATGGTATTTAGTTAGACACTACAATATGCAGATAAGATATCTAACCGTTAATTCAAGGTAAATAAAATAAAAATAACATACATATATTGGTTTGTTATTAATTTTAACTGATAATCTGATTTTTCTTTGTTTATTTATGATTTGTACGAACTGATAAATATATGAATTTTATTAACGCAAATTCCTTTTTGTGATTAATCATATAACTTAGTTTGTAATTTACTGGATATCAATAATGCATGTTAATTATTCTTTCTAACGTTATATAGTAAGACGGTTATTATATGACGTGATTTTTTCTTTGCTTTTTTTTGCCAAAATGACATTTTATAAGGGCGGTAAGTAAATTTTTTTTAATTTTGTGTAATTTTCCACCCTCTAAAATAATACTAATGTCTGTCAATGCGTTTGTTTATATTCAATTTTTTAATTATTCATGCATTAAAATTTCTCACAACAGATGTTGATCTTTTTACAATATAACACTTACGGATATTCATACTACAGTATATCCCCGGATGGAGGATGTAGCACTATTTTAATTATTGTATCATATCATACACGAGAAATTTTTTAAATAACCCATTCTTGATTCGCTGGAGTAGACCCGAAAAATACATATAAGGATCATTTTAATGCAGATCTTTCTTTTTTTAGATAATGCGACCAGAATTTTATTGTCATTTTACGTAATTCTGGCCCTGAAAAGTTGGCCAAAAAATTGCCGATCATTTGTGACTACTACTAGAGTCGCAAGTCCATAAGAGTTAGAGGTTCCTCGACAAAAGGGCTATGTAGCGAGATTGTCGATCAGTTTTAACTTTAGATTTTAGATAGTCTACTTTCGATACCAATTTTGTTTGATGTACATTTCGACATTGCACGGATCCGCCGAATAAACGGATTGTTATAAAAAATAATAGCCGACAGATAACATCGGATTTATTAATGTATCAAAACTCCGTCTAAAAAACCGGAAGTATATATACATATATACATATACACATATATATAAGACGGGTAAACGGATTAAAACACTATGCAATTTTATTCGTGTTATAATTTGTAGTACAGGCAGTACAATAATTTTTAAACTCAAATTTACCATCCCACGAAGATAAATAAAATTAATAATAAAATAATACACATGATACAAAAACGTCGTAAATGGATCTTCGATGCTACAAGATAGATAAGATTCTGTGGAAAGATCTTATCTTTAGGTAATAATAAACAATTGATTATTGATTTTCCCATGATAAGATAATGTCATTATGAATCGATCTTTCTGCTGTAATAAATTTTATTTGGACACGTTTAAGTTGTATTGTACATAATTGGTTTTAATTCTTAATTAGAAGATAGATCCTTATTATAAAATGTATAAATACTTATTATTTGAACTTTTATAGTGAATAAATACCCAAGGGATACATTTTTAATATTTAAAAATTCCTAATTTTATCGAACAAAGGATAATCTATTCTCGTGTATAAATGATGATATAAGCTTTTTTCTTAAAATTGCAATACCTGTAAATATTTTGTTTTGAAAATTTACAACAAAAACAAAAATGGTGGTATAAATTATGTCATTATTTTTCATTTCCGATATTTCATAAAAATGCGTCGAGAAAAGAAAAAAAAAAGACAAAAAAAAAAAA